CTTGGAGGCCAGAAGAGGATCAGATCCTCTGGAGTTATAGGTGGCTGTTAACCACCATGTGGGTGCTAGGAACCAAATCCAGATCCTCTGAAAGACCGGCAAGTACTCTTAACCACCAAACTCTCCAGTTCCTAACCTCTTTTTTAAAAAAGATTTTTTTATTATATATTTATGTGCATGTGTCTGTGTCTATGTGTGGGTTGTGAACATGTGTGTGGATGCCCTCAGAGGCCAGAAGAGAGCATTGGATCCCCTGGAGCTGGAATTACAGATGGTTGTGAGCCCTGTGTGGGTGCTGGAAACTGAACTCCAGCCCTCTGCAAGAACAGTATGCACTTTTAACTGCTGAGCCATATCACAAGCTCTAAAACTTATCCTCTTAACCATCATAACTGAAATCCTTCCAAACTGTCGAGTATTTTCGTAGCTTTGAGAGTCATAACCTCTATGTCTCATTGGCAAAGAAGGCAGTAAGACAGTCACCATGCACACCTGTCATCCCAGCCCTCAGGAGGCTAAATAAAGCAGGAGGATCATGGATTCAAGGCTAGCCTGAAGTACAAAACAAGTTCCAGGCCATCCTGGTCTACAGAATCAAACCTTGTCCCCAAAACAAAATCAAACAGAGGAAAAAAGAGGGAAAAAAAAGCAACAGGAAGTATTTTAAGGTCTGTCAAATAAGCACTCAGGAGGCAGAGATAGGTGAATCTCTGAGTCCCAGGCTAGCCTGGTCTACCAGATCAGTCAGGGCTGCATGTTGAGACCCTGTCTAAAACAAAGCAAAACAAAAGAAACAGATCTGTCAATTATAAACAGTAGAACCTCTGTTTTTATTTTCTTTTTCTTTCTTCCTCATCCCACTCCACCCCCCCCCCCATACTGAGGATGAAATCCAGGACCCTATGTGCTGTGCCTGCTAGACAAGCGCACTGAGCCATGACATAGCCCTTAGTTTTTTTGAAACAGAGTCTCACTATGTAGCCCAGGCCAATCTGGAACTTACTATCCTCCTGCCTCTGCCTCCCACACGCTAGGATTCTCAGCCACCATACCCACTTTCTTCTTCTTTTATTCATTTTTTTTTCTCAATATTTTTTTACTGAAAACTTTTAAACGGACCAGAAATTTGCAAAAGTAACCTGATCAGTAGAGGCCTGGTGTTGGCAAACATCAGCCTGAGGCCTGTTTTGTACCAGCTGTGAGCTAAGAGTGGTTTTTCACATGTTTAAGTAGTTGGAAAGAGAAATACAAAGGAGGAGAAATGTTTCATAACACATGAAAACTATAGGAAGTCCAAATACGCTTGCCCGCTCATTTCTGTGTTAGTCACAACTGCTTTTGCTCTGAGATGGCAGAGTTTAGCAGTCAGAAAGACCCTGTCACTAAGCCCCAAGTGTTTACTGTGTGGCCCTTTATATAAATGTTTGCCAACCCCTGATCTAGACTTACCAATTATTAAATTCTTCTAAAAATGTTTATTTATTATTTTTTATGTGATGAGTGTATTGCCTGCATTGTATATAAGTGCACCTGTGTTGCACAATGCCATGGAGGTCAGAAGAAGGCGTCGGATCCCCAGGAACTGCAGTCACAGATGTTGTTAAACACCATGTGGGTGCTGGGATTCAAACCTGGGTCTTTTGCAAGAACAGCCAGTGCAGATCCCCTAGAACTTGAGTTCTAGGTGGTTGTTAACCACCATGTGGGTGCTGGGAACCAAACCCAGGTCCTCTGCAGGAGCAGCAATGTTCTTAACTGCTGGGCAGTCTCTCCAACCCCCATTATGAAATTTTTGTGGTGCTATGATGGAACCCAAGGCCTTGAACTCGAAGTGCTGCACTGTGAAGACTTTCCCCTGCCCTCTGGAAGTTAAGATTTTGTCATTTTCACCATTAAGTGTTTCTTCAGTGGTTCTTTTTAATTTTGGGGGGATGGAACCGAGGACCTCAACATGCTAGGAAGGCCCTCTACCCCTGAACTACATCCCCAGGCCCTGCTTCTCATGGCAAACAGTGGATCTGGCAGGCTTAGAGTAGGGAGAGAGAAGATAGCACAGCATCCAGCACACAGTGCTAAGTGTGTAGACAGAACTCAATAAACACTGCAATGAACATTCCTAGGATTTCCTACATAAGGTTTTGCCCCAAACCCCGGCTTAGGCCTCTTGAGCCTTGGGCTTTTCTGACTCCCTGGTTCCCATAGGCTGGAAACCAGTTTTACCCAGAAAAGCTTTCTTAGCCAAGGGAGCAAAAAAGGGCCTCCAGGAAAGTTCATTTTTTCCATAGCTTGTGGCTTGGCTGACTCAGCCTCTGCCTTCCCTGAGTCACAAGTTTTTCCTCTTCCTTGGAGAAGGGTGGGCACCCTCCACCCAGGTCTCCACGCCCACAGCCAGCCCTTGCCGGGAAGGGGTGGGCAGCTGGAAGACCAACTTTTGCTGTGTTTGGGGGACTTCCTGAACTTACACTCAGCTACAAAGGGTACTAGAGCAAGGAGGGAGACAGAGGAGGAGACCAAGTTCTAAGGGGGCCCTGAACCACCAGCAGGACAAGTCTGGTTTCTGCACTCCAGCAGCAACCAGATGTGCCCTTCCCCTGGTTTTCCTTCTCTAGGCAGCTACTCTCTACCAGGCACTATGTGAGATGCCAGGATGCCCTCATAAGAGACAAGACAGCCTGCTCTCATAGGGGACCACCCTCACCCTGGTTACCTCTGCTTCTCCCTGTGAAGCTCTGACCCCTTGCTAAGGAGGTGGGGAGAGGGTAGGAGACTGAGGCAGTCATACAACATGGCCATGAAGACTCAGCTTGAAGAACACTTGGGGTGGCACTTTCCAGTGTGCCAGCTGATACAGCAGGCACTCAGAAATGCCTCTGCTGAAAAGAACAAACTCCCCACCTGTGCCCACAAGGGAAGCTAAAGGACAGAGCAAGAGCAGAGCCTCTCAGACCGATCACCCCATGCCATGATCTCCCCCAAGAAGGAATAGTCATCTCATGGGAATCAGCTTGTCCCTCAACCACTGGAAGTATTTGAACTCAGAAGGTGACCACACAGACCATACTCTGACAGGCCAGCTTAATCATGTAGCTGTCTTACCCTCTACCCCAGGTCCTTGTGTATGAGTGTTTTACCTGCATGTATATAACTGCACCATGTGGGTGCAATGCCCTCAGGGGCCAGAAGAGGGCATAAATCCCTGGAACTGGATTCATGAATGGTTAGCTGCCATGTGGATGCCGGGAACTGAACCCAGGTCCTCTGCAAAGTCAGCCAGTGCTCTTAAGTCCTGAGCCAGCTCTCCAGTCCCACTGACCATGACTCTTTAAATGACAAAATGGGATGAGTGGTCAAGCCTATTCTGTGGGCACCCAGAGCTGAGAATTTGCCCTAAAACTCCGACAGTTACAACTCAGCCTGTGGGGCTTAAGACCCTGTCTCTTTCCTTTCTTGACAGTGGAGAGTTTGGCTTACCACCAATGAATAAACTCATCGGTACCCGTGTCATGGATAGAGCAGGCCCAGAGTAAAACAAGGGGAGAGTGAGGGACTGTGGTGGGTAGGACAGGAGCCCCATCTACAGGGGACAGCTTGCTGTGGAGATATGGACCAGCATTTCCAAATTATTTATTTTATTTTATTTTATTTTTGAGATAAGGTCTCACAGTGTAGCCCAGGCTGCTCTCAAACTCATAATCCTTCTGTTTTAGCCTCCCAAGTGCTGGGATCTCAGGCATGTGCCCCTAAATCCTCTTATTTAAGAGAAACTAGAAGTCAAAGCTGAGGATATAGCCCATTTGGTAGAGCGCTTGCCTAGTACAGTGAGGCCCTAAGTTCAAATCCCAGCACTGGAAAAAGAAAAAGAGAAACCATAAGACTCAGTTTTTATGCAAATTCTCCCAAACTTGAAATGGTGACAGCAATGCACTTTTTAAATGTTTAAATAAATTTCAAGGTAAAAAGAAATGTTCTCAGGGTTAAGTTTAGCTGCTTAGTAAATGCCAAAAAGGGTGAAGGAATTGGTGGGTGCAGGGATGTGGTGGGGATTAAGGATTGCAAGGCTGGAAACACAGCTAAGTTAAGGACCTTCCTACAAAGCAGAGGTTCACATCAGCCCTTCCTCTGCTGTCCCTTCTTGCCTTGGTCTTGACCCAATAGGTACCAGGCTAACCAGGCTAACCTTCCTGTGAGCAGGAGCCCTTGGAGAAACAGTAATGAAGTCACAGGCAGTGGGTACTAGGAACCATCTCTGAGGCCCCCAAAATGAGACTATAGAACAGACATTTTAACCCAGCGCTCAGGAAGCAGAGGCAGGATTGAAACTTAAGGCCGGCCTGAGCTACATAATGAGACTCTGGCTCAAAAAAGAAAACAAGGAGAACACGTCCTGCCCTCCAGCTCTCCCAATTCTGTGATAACGCAATGGACCACAGAAGGTCTGGCTTTGGGGCTCACAGCCTGGGGATGTGAGAAGCCACAACACGATAAAACAAGACCTAAGGAAATGACTTCCGGTTGCTGCAGGTGACACAAGAAACAAAACTAGATGAGGTAGTGGATGGTGGTGCGGTGCAGAAAGACAAGACGAGACCAAGTCAGGGGAAGTGCAAAGGGTGGGCACGGGAACAACGCCAGGTTTTGGGAAACAGGAAGAAGCCATAGGGAGAGGATGGGGGGGGCAGGTGAGACCCAGAAGCTGGAGGTCTTGGAATAGCATTCCGAGTGTCACTAGGGACTAGGGAGGGGTCAACCCTGGGCTGCCTGACCTACTCAGGCTACAGTTGCGTGATGCACACATGGGGTCCACTAAACTCTTCTAATTTCCTCCAGTGTGTGATTGAAATGTTCCACTTAGGAAAAGTTTACATTAAAGTGCCGCTCGCCACACTGCGCGGATACACCCGCGCACATTTCTTGGGGAACTGGGGCTGGCTCCACCTCCCCAACCCCCCTGCACTTCGGAGCTCCGATTGGTCGGCCCGCTAGCGAGGGGGGCGTGTCAGGAGAGTGGAACGCGGAGGCGTGGGCAGCGGGAGGCTAGGCTGGCTGGAGAGGACCGCTGCCGCGGCGGGTGGACCCAGTGCGTGGACCCGGCGCGTGGACCGCTGAGCGCACGGTTCCCAGCGGGAGGTAAGCGGGCTGAAGCGCGGGGTGGACATTTGGGTCTCCTCCTGGGCAGAGGATGCTTGTGGGCCAGAGTACCCCAGGTGTGCGCGATCTGTGATCCACGCGGGGGGCCCCACGCACCTCCAGGCCTCAGGGTCTCTGCGTACACCTTGCCTGGTGATGTTCCAGAGTCGTCCTTGGTCGAGGACGTCTTTGGGGATGGGAGGCTCTCGTTGCCTTCTTATTTGGGACCCTCTGGATCCCGTGAAGAGTATGTGATTTTTAAATACAGGAAAGTTATTGAGATGGGCCACGGAGAGACACGACCTCCTTTTTCTTGGGAACATCTGAAATGTGGACAGGAAGGTGTTCCCAGGCCTCTGCAGGAGGAAAAGCTGCCACTTCTAGTAGCTGTGAAACTTGGTATGCACAGCGGGAGAGGGAGCAGAACTTGGAATTTGGACCCATCTGGTATCTGATCCCAGAGGGTCAAAGGCCGCGGAGGAGGGGCGATATGTGCTGGAATCACATCCTTTCCCCTGGGATTTGTGTAAGCTAAGATACCCCGCTTGTGCTGTGGCCTGCCCACGTCAGTCCTCTGAGACGGAGAGAGGCCAGGCAGCTCTGGCTGAGCCTGGAAGCCTGTCCCACCCAGCCCTGCCAAGGAAGGAGGGACTTGGCATTGTGGCCCTTCAGGGCCGGAGCCGGCCCGCCAATGATCCTGCCCAGGCCACCCTATGTGTTCTGTGGTGAGACAGGGCATGTAGAAGGTCAGGCAATTTAAAAAAGACTACACAAAAGACTGGATTTTAAGAATTTCTGATTCTGGGTGTTTTTAATTTTACAATTATTTATTGGTGAGGGAGGGAACACATTTCGAGGTCAGAGGACCCTTTACAGGTCTCTTCTTCCACCATGTACTTTAGGGGACAGAACTCAGATTATCAGTCTTGGTGGCAAGCCCCTTACCCACTGGGCCATCTCACTCAACCCTGCTTTGTTTTTTGAGACAAGGTCTCTGGATGTAGTCCAGAGTGGCCTGGAACTCTCTTCCTGTCTTAACGTCCCAGGTGCTAGATTATAGTCATATGCCACCACTATGAGCCAAGGGTTTCTCTCTCTTGGCTCCAAGCAGCAGCTCAGTTATTTGGGAACTGGGCCACTAGCCCAGGATCTAGGACTATGACTGGGGCTGGGATGGGGACTTTGTGCTTTTCCAGCTGGGCTTCTGTGGAGAATGAATACTACATGGTAAATGTGTCTGGTGAGCTTTAGGCACTAAGGATGGGGCACCTGAATCTTATTTTCCTAGACGAAGGCTTCCAAAAAGCTCAGGGCAGGGAGAAGACTTGGGTCCTGCAACTCTCCTAGCGGCCTTAAAAAAATGCTCACAAAGGCCTGTGGGACTGCAAAATGTTCCCTGCCTGCTTCTGTAGCCTTAGCTCTTTCTTCTGTGCCTTGTTCCATACAAGGTTCCAGGTCTCAAATCTCTCTCTCAAGAGCTGTACCCCAGTTGGCAGTAGGGGACAGTTGGTTCCATGAGGACAAAGCCTGGGTGGTTGTCACTTGTATGCATCCATGGGCATTTTACAACATGCGATGGCGTATACCAAAGGGGTCAACAAACTTTATCTGTGAGAGGCCACAGAATAAATATTTTAGGCTTTGCAAGCCAGGTGCTCTGTGGCATGTGACAGTGTTCCAGTACAATCACATTTAGGAAGACTGGCAGCAGGCCAGATTGGATGTGGAGTTTAGCCCCTGGTTTTAGATCATACAACACTCTCCTTGGTTGTTGTTACACAGAAAGCACTGGCCGCCCACCATCTGCAGGCACCTGGTGACTCAAAGCCAGCACTTCCCAAGTTGCAGAGCTCTCGGCTCTCTGTGAGCCAGTTCAATCGGGAAATCACTGAGCCCCAGGGCTCCACATCCTTCTGAACTCTGAAGGGATATGTAGGTCTGTCCATTCCTGTCTCCTAGACTCACTGACCCTGAAACAAGTGTTCTCCCCTCCATCAGTAGCCCAGTATCACACTGGGGTTGGCACAGGTGCACAGGCTACCAGAAGGTTCCATCTTTATAGTCTTTCTGAAACAGATAAGCCCCAAGTGTGTTGGGACTGAGCTCTCCCCTTCATAAATGACTTTCCCTTTTCCTGTGAGAGCAGTAACAAGACTGTCCATCTGACTGCAGCTACTGTATTTATCAAGAAAAGTCTTCAGACCATGTCAAACCAAGGCATGAAACTCAGGTTGCAGAATGTGGGGTGAGCTTCCAGGAGGACGCGGTCTGCCCAGTCAGCCCAGGGCCCTCTGTAGGTCCACAGAGAAGAACATGAGAGCTCCCTGAGTGCCCCCCTGGTCAGTGTGGGGTCAGCTCCAAGCCACACCCTATTATCGCCTCCAAATACCTCCAGCCTTCCTGGCCCACAATTTGCTTCTCGGACCTACAGTGGCCATCGGGACCTAAGAGTTCTGTCAGTCACAGGTTGGGGGCAGAATAGTGTGGGATCCTGGGGTGGGGGCAAGTTTCTGAGCCTTCTTTAGGGCCAGGGAGACACTTGGGTAGGCTCTATTGGCTGGGCCTGCTGCAGGCATTCCACTCCTTGGACACTCCCTAGGCACTGCCCCTGGATCTCCACTTTGCATCCTGCCCGAGGGCTCTCTGCTGCTGTGATATTGCCCCTCATTTTCTCTATGCCACTGTCCCATGTGGCATTATGGGAGGTGGAGTTGGATAGGGCCTCCTGCCCTCTAGGCTCACAGCCTGTTTGCCTCAGCTGCTGAAGGTGCTAAGCTCAGCCTGCAGCTGCTACAGGGCCAGGTTTTCATAACTCCCATCAGCGGCAGCCTTTTCTACACACAGCTGTGCTGGAGGGACATGGCTGGCCTTACATCCTCAGAGCTCTTGGAGTCTCCTGCAAGTTCTAGGCCCCCATGCTGTGCCATTTCCTGCTGGGCTAGAACTTGACCAGACACTGAATTGTCATTTTATTCTTTTGGAGGACCTTAAAATTAATAAGAAAGAGAAAGGCACATTTTCTAGGTCTAGGGATTGTTGGTTATTTGGATTCATCATATTGTCTTATCATTTTAATTCTGTGTGTGATATGTATGTGTGTCCGTGAATGGCGAGGTGAGAGGGGAACCCCCAGTGCTTGTCCTCACTTTCCACCTTGAGACTGGGTGTCTTGTTCACTCTATATGCCTCCACCTCCCAGCTCACCATAGGACTGGGATTACTGACGGCCTTTTAATGGGTTCTGGGGATTTGAACTCAGGTCCTGATGCTTGCCTGGCAGGTACTTCACTCAGAGTCAGTTCTCCAGCCTTATCTTAATCATTTTGAATGTACAGTTCAGTACTGGGTTTTTTGTTGTTGTTCGGGAGATTTTTTAGTCTTTTTGAGACAGAGTCTCCCTGTAGCCCCAGCTGGCCTGGCCTCGAACTCACTATATAGACCAGGCTCACAGTGATCCGCCTGCCTCTGCCTCCTGAGTGCTGGGATTAAAGGCTTGCACCACCACACCTGGTCACAGTTCAGTACTGGTAAAATAATTATCGTGATTTATCTCCTGAGCTTTTTCGTCTTTTAAAACAGAAACTCACTTGGCATGATAGTGCATGCCTGTAATCCTAGCAGGAAGCCCCTAGTGGGTATGAGATTTCTTCCTGTTTCTACTCATAGATTAACAACAGTTTGACTGAGGGCTCTTCAAGTAAGTGCCATTCTGTTCATCAGTTTATCTCCATTATGTGAAGAGAGCCTTTTGTTTTTGAGATAGGGTCTCCCTGTTCCCCAGCTAGCCTGGAACTCACTATGTAGACCAGGCTGGCCTCTATCTCACAGAAATCGGTCTGCTGGTGGAGGTCAGAAGACAGCATTGAATCCCCTGGAACTGGAGTTACAGACAGTTGTTAGCTGCTATGTGGGTGCTAGGAATTGAACCCGGGTCCTCTGCAAGAGCAGCCAGTGCTCTTAACTGCTGAACCATCTCTCTAGCCCCAAAGCAAGCACTCTTAACTGTTAAGCCATCACTCCAGCTGAAGAGCCTGTTTTTGTATGTGTATATCTTTTTGAGACAGGGTCTCCCCTGTCTCGGCTGGCCTTGAACTCTCTGAGATCCACCTGCCTCTGCCTCCCAAGTGCTAGGATTAAAGGTGTGTGCCACCATACCCAGATGAGCCTTGTTTTTATCCTTTCCTCTACTCCCAAACATTTTGGGTGTCTCTGCTACCCAGCAGCCACTGTGCCATCACATCTCCCACCTGCCCCCGAGTAATGCTGACCCTTCCACAGTAAGACTTTATCCAGCTTGGCCCACAGCACAATTCCTGGTGGACATGGAGGTAGCACACCAGCATTTTAAGGGACACAGTTTAGAGTTGTCAGATTGTCCCTCAGCCAAGGACTGGTGATCAGGTGGCAGAACAAGACAGACAGCTCGGGGCTGCAAGGTTTGCAGCCAAGATCAGCAAACTAAAAATAGTCCTTAACATCAGGCAATGTGGGCAGTACTTCTCAGGATGCCTGAGGCCTGGAGGGACAAGTAGGACAGGACAGAAGGGCCTGAGCGTCCTCTCCTGTGCAAAGCATTTAGCCTCGCAGCTGTCCTCCTGACCAACCCTTGCCTCTAGTTTCCCACAAGTGGCCTCACATACAGAACCATAGTATGATGACCCAGAAACCAGAGAGAGAGAGAGAGAGAGAGAGAGAGAGAGAGACCAGAGGTTGATATCAGGTATCTTCCTCAGTGGATCTCCACCGTAATTTTTGAGGTAGCATTTTTCGCTGAACCTGAAGTTCACTGATTCAGCTGAATTGTCTAGCCAGCAAGTTCCAGGGATCCTCCCCAGCTCTGGGTTTACAAACACCATGCCTAGTTTTTAACAATGAGGCCTGCGGCCCTGAATCAAGTCTTCATGTTTGTATGGCAAGCACTTTACCAACTGAGTCATCTCCCCAGCCCAAGACTAGGTCTCGAAAAGTCCCGTGAAAGAAAACAACAAAAACCCAGGTGGCATCCAAAAGGAGTGAGTAAACTTTTTGTATAATGATCCAGATGGTTGATATTTCAGATTTTGTGTCTGTGATCTCTGTCACTAATCAGCTCAGTCACAGCATGAAAGTAACCACATAGAATACTTGTATGTTTGTGGCCAAGTTACAATAAAACTTTATTTATAAAAATGGGCTCTGGACCAGATTTGACCTCTGACCAGTTTGCTAACTTTTGTAGTTTGGGGTCAGTGCAGGGGAGCAACTTGAGCTGGAGTTGACAGGGTGTCTTTCTAAAAAGGAGATGAGAACTGAGCTGGTCACAAGCCACAGCTGAGAGGGGATGGTCCACGAGACTGCATGGTACCTTATAGGGTGATGGCATCATATGCTGAGAAATGGTCAGGCTAAGCTCACTTTGAGAGATGAAAGGACTTGCTCCTTGGTTGAATGTAGGCTGTATAGAAAAGAGGAAGTTCAAGGATGAAGCCTAGATTTGGGGTTTGAACCACTGAGTGATCAGTGGGGATTGAACCACTGGGTGGGGTTTGAATCACTGAGTGAACAATGGGATTTGAACCACTAAGGGAATGATGATTCCTATGATGGAAAAGAGCTAAGAGTAGGTCCAGGGGGAGGCTAGGTTTCAGTGTTGAGTAAGTGGCTTATTAGATGAGTGGGTGGGCTGTAGAGCTGGGCGGAGATGCCAGGCCTGGAGGATTGCACTAGGGTGTGGCTTCATCCCTGTGACCTTTAGGTCTGGAAGTGCACTAGGCTCAGAGGGGTGGGTGTGGACCCAGCAAGACGTAGCCAGAGGGTATTATGAGGCCTGCGCTGTTTATTGCAGACATACCAGCACAGAGCCCAAGCGGTCCTCAGTCCACGGGGGATGTGGTGTGGTGTGAGTTGTGTTCTCAACATCAGCTTCCCTCCTGTAAAATGCGGGTCCAACTTCCTGGGGTTTATAGGGGGACTCCATTATATAAAGTCAAACTTGGCTTGGCGGAAGAGCTCAGCCCACAGCCCCACGGATGGCAGTGGTGACCATCAGCTAGCCAGCACAGTTGGAGACCCTAGGAAAATGAAGGGAGTCTCAGGGTCTGTGGTGAGTTTGGATCACAGACACCTGTATTGCCTGGCACACGGTACTTTGCACTTGCACACTTCCAGTCCCAGAATGCCTTGAACAGCTGATAGGAGTTGGAACCTCCTTGTTCCTTGCCCCTGGTACATACCCATGGGGCGTGCTCTACAGACTTCCAAGGCTCCTGGAGCTAGTGGGCCTCCACTTCCTGCAGTGAGAGGCTCTCAATAGTATTCTCATCGCTGTCTTCCTAACTCTTGTCTGCCTTCTGCTGGGGAGGCCCTTTTACCCCATAATAATTTCTTCCACTCCTTGTCAGCTTGGCCTTGGGGCCCTGAGTCCATGTTGGGAGGCTGGGTGGCCTTGCTGGAGTACAGTGTGATAATAGCTTGTCTAGTTTGGTGGAGGGGTGAACAGTGTAGATCTGACTTTCCTGTCTTCCTCCTCCAGCCTCGCCGCTGAGAAGATGGTAGACCACTTGGCCAACACAGAGATCAACAGCCAGCGGATCGCGGCAGTGGAGAGCTGCTTTGGAGCATCGGGACAACCGCTGGCCCTGCCAGGCCGGGTGCTGCTAGGTGAGGGGGTGCTGACCAAGGAGTGCCGAAAGAAGGCCAAGCCTCGTATCTTCTTCCTCTTCAATGACATCTTGGTATATGGCAGTATTGTGCTTAGCAAGCGCAAGTACCGTAGCCAACATATTATTCCCCTGGAAGAGGTGACATTGGAGCCACTCCCTGAGACCCTACAGGCCAAGAACCGCTGGATGATCAAGACGGCCAAGAAGTCCTTTGTGGTGTCGGCAGCCTCCACTACAGAGCGCCAGGAGTGGATCAGCCACATCGAGGAGTGCGTGCGGAGGCAGCTGCTGGCCACTGGCCGCCAGCCCACCACGGAGCACGCAGCACCCTGGATCCCCGACAAGGCCACTGACATTTGCATGCGCTGCACACAGACACGCTTCTCAGCACTCACACGACGCCACCATTGCCGAAAATGTGGCTTTGTGGTCTGCGCTGAGTGCTCCCGAGAGCGCTTCTTGCTGCCCCGTCTCTCACCCAAACCCCTTCGTGTCTGCAGCCTCTGCTACCGTGAGCTGGCTGCCCAGAAGCGAAGAGAGGAGTTGGAGGAGAGGGGCAGAGGCTCCCCGGGGAGGCTGGCCCACCTGGGCGGGGCTGTCTGTGGAGCATCCAGTGGTGATGATGATGATTCTGATGAGGACAGGGAGGGCAGCGGGGATGGAGACTGGCCCAGCCGGGTGGAGTTCTACACCTCTGGGGTTTCCTGGTCAGCCTTCCACAGCTGACCCTCATCTGTAGAGCATCTGCATCAAACCAGTCTGCTGCCTAGGGCTCCAGGAGGACAGCAGCAGCTGAGGGTCCTGAGCTGTGTGGTGTCATCGGGACCTCTGGTCATGGTGGTGGTCACAAGGGCAGGTGGCTGTTCCCGCCCCATTACCAGTGCCTTTCTGCTGGACAACAGCTTTCTAGTTCCAGTCAGGTAATAGCCTTTCCATGTCATAAGGCCCAGAACATGCAGGCCTTCAGAACAAAAACCTGCAGCCCTTAGCATTAGACTAGGCCAGATGCCCAAGGCGTAGAGGGACCAGGTTGGGTAAGGAGGGAAAAGAAAAAACCAGACCAGAGTGTGGGTACACTTCACTCTGAGGCCTGAGCCTCTGACACCACCCCACCCCTGGATAAGCACAACCCATGGAAGACTATGAAGCCTGCCTACCCGCCATGTTAATGCCACTACCAAGCTGCTAGACCCTGCCAGGTTAGCTCCTAGGCTGCACTGTGTGTGCCTTAAAGACCCAGGTCAGCCTGTCAAGTCCTCTGCTCTGTCACCACCCCCCAAGTGTCTGGTGTCGTTTTGTCCTCTCCCATCTCTCTACAGTCAGCGAAAGCAGTTTTCTCTTATGATTAAGTTGCAAGGACAGAAAGCCACTTGGATTGACTTACTAATAAAAAGAAAGCACCAAGTTTTTTGCTTGGTAAGTCTAAGAGTGCCCTTGCTTCAAACATCACTCAGGTTGGAAACCAAGCTGGGGACAAATGGCACTGACCCACCACACTGGGTGCTTCTGGGAATATCAACTGCCCGATGACACATTCATGACATGCATTCATGCCACACTGAGGCTGGGTCCCCAAGGATACAGCCCCATCCCAGTGCTGTGGCAGTGTTTCATCTCCCTCCCTCCCTCCCTCCCTCCCTTTCTTCCTTTCTGCCCTCTCCAGCAATGATTTCTGAACCTTAGGAGACAGAAACCTGATATAGGTGTCCTATTCGGGGATAAGCACTCTGCAGTCTCATTCTCTGCACATTGGCCAGTTGTGGGTCTCTGTGTTAATCACCATCTGCTGTATGAGGAAGCGTCTCTGGTGAGAACTGAGAGACGCGTTAATCTACAGGTATAATAATAAGTCGTTAGTAGTCAGCTTAATACTATCTTTAGCAGAATAATAGATTGTTTGGGGACACAAATTTGACTCTATAGGCACATGTATATGCAAAAGAATACATGAAATTGAGCTAGGATACAGATAGGGGAGGGGATCTAGATAGATCAAAATACATTGTATTAAATTCACAAAAATTCAATTAAAAAAAAGAGAGAGTCAAGTTCTCACTATGTAGCCCAAGCCAATCCAAACTTAAGATTCTGGCCTCAACCTCCTCAAACAGATAGCTTATTGGTGTGGGCTAGCTAAATGGATGGAATGAAGGAACTAAGGTGTTTAATGTCCTGTGTAGGCTCCTGCTCAACCCCTGCAATGGTGTCTTTGAAAGGGGAAACAGCCCAGGTATGGCCACTGACCTTACACACTGTCACACAGCTGTGGGCCCTTCAGGAGCCTCCTGCAAAGCTGGGTGTGATGGCACATGCCTGGAATCCCAGCACTGAGAGGCATGAGGATGTGGGGTCTGACAGCAGCGTGGGCTAGTAGAGAGAGAACCCTGTGTTGAAAAAGTAAGCATCTAGCAGATGTGTGTGTATCAGTCTTTGCACAATTTCTGGCTGGTCTTGGACACAGGACTTGTGCATAGAGGTGGGTCACTGTCAGCTACATGTGGTGACTCTGTGGGGAGAAAGCTTCCCCCAGGCCCCCAGTGTAGTGAAACTCTACTTGTCAGGGTTCTCGATTCCCCAGATGCAGCACTGTTGCTGTGGCCCTTATATGTTACACATGCAAACTTCAGAGGTCGAGCTGGGTATGTTCTGATTCTGCAGGTCCAGCCCAGCTCCCACAACCTGCAGCTGACATGTGGTCCTCCTTCAAGGAATACTGGAGGGGTGTTCTGAGAAACACCCAGAATCTGCCTGAGACTGCCCACTCTGGCAGTGATAGGCAGGGAGGGTCAGGGACTTGTTTATTTGCAGCCCTTTCCCTCTGTGGCTTCTGTCAGCCACATAGACTGGTTCAGGCTGCTTCTGTTTGGGCAGAGGGCACAGAGCCAGGCAGGTCACCAGGTAAGGGGCAGCTTCCTGAAACTGGATCTGATGTCATCTCAGAAATCCAGGCCAGATAGCCCTGTCCCTTCCCCCCAGGTTGCTGGCAGAGTGGAGAAAACTGGTCACTTGGTCACAAGCCTCATTCCTCTGGAATGTCCCTTTCCTGAGAAACTTCAGGGTCCAAAAGGCAATGTTTGGGTAGACAAGAGAAGGGACTGCTGAATTGAACCTGGAGATAGCCACCCTCTGTACCACCTGGGAAAGCAGGCAGAGTGGCAGGAGCCTGGGTGCTTGGAGCAGGCTGGTGGAGGACTATGTGGCATTGGGAGGTAGACAGGGACAGGAGGTGGCTCAACCCTCAGCCCAGAACTCAGACAGGTTCCCTTTCCCACAGGCCTGGGACAGGGGTGTTACTTCCCTCAGCTGCAAAGTCTTAGGAGTGAGTCTACAGGACCCAAGGGCCAACAGCCTTACAAGGTGCTCATTCATGCAGTTACAGAGGCTTGCAGTGTGCCCTGCCACCTGCTGGGGACAGAATTATGAGTAAGATGGACAGGGTCCTGACTTGGCTCTCAGCTGGGAGAGGAGACAGGAGTGTACTCCAGTAGGTCAGTGGAGGCTGGTACTGGGTGCCAGAGGAGAGAACCAGGCATTCCAGTGGGGAGACGGCACTTCCCTCTGCTTACTATTGTGAATAGTGAGTGCCAAGGCCCAGAGGAGGAAGGGATCCATGTGTCCTGGAGCAGCACATAGCTGAGGCCAAAAGACCCCAGAGACTGCTGGGAGCCACAAGTCTATCTGCTCTGAAGAACTTCTGGTGTGTGTGTAGATGGCTGAGGAGTGGAGAGGTGGGTGGGCATGGGGGCCCTGTGGCCAGAAGGGCACTTGGGATTCCCAAGAAGACATCCATCAAAAGCACATCCTCTGTTCTTTCCAACTGTGGAGGTGCCCAGGAAGCTTCCCCATCCTCCCTTCTGTCCCTGAGATATCGGGGTGGGTGGGGGGGAGCCAAATGATCACCAGGGGCTGAACATTTGCTCTAGAGCCCTATGTGAGATCAAGTGATTCCCAGTGCCCCTACTCCCCTCCCCGCCTTCCCCACCCCTGGATACACACACCCTCACTGCTAAGTGTAGAAAGTAGAGAGGCCAGCAGGAATGAAGGACTGATGAAGCAAATGTGCAAGAAAATAAAGGCTGGTGAGGATGCAGGCAGGAGGGACCCTGCAGCTTTGGGAGGTGTGGCCACTGCAGAAGTAGGTGTGCATGCTCCTGAGTAGATGGAACAGAACTGCATATGACCCAGCTAGAGCACTCCTGACACCCAGTTAGAGTGCTCCTGGGTAGTCAGCATATCACAGGGACCCGTGCACACTGTGATTACCGTGACAGTATTCACAGTGGCCAAGATGGAACCCACCTGGGCATCCATCCACTCATGAATGGGTAAAGAAAACAGCATATATGCATGCTAGAGTTTTATTCAGACATAAGAGTGAGGAAGGAATTGGGGCTGAAGAGATGGCTCAGTGGTTAAGAGCACTGGCTACCCTTGCAGAGGACCTAATGCACATACATACGTGCAAGCAAAACACTCATGCACATAAAATAAAAATCACTTAATCAGAAAGCATTGTGTTAGAAAAAGAAGGAGGAAATTATGTCATTTGCGGGAAAATGGATGGAGCTAGATGGAGGTTGCCATGTTAAGTGAAACAAGCCAGACTCAAAGGGCACATGTTTTCTCTCATAGGCAGAATCTAGATTGTTTTTAAAGACATGAAAATAGAAAGAAATAGGAAGAGGAAAGGGACCAGTGGCGGCAGGGTAGAGGGGGACAAGAAGGGGAAATGGGGGGTATGATAAAAGTGCATAAAAAAAGTGACCAAAAGAAATTGCTATATGGGCTAGCATGGGAACCTGGGAAGGGAAGGATCTGTCTGGGAGATTGTCCTCTGCCTGTACCAGAGACAGGCTGGGATCAAGGGTCACAGGCATCCCACCCAGGCTGTTCTTAGAAAGGGGCCTGCTTCGGAAACAGACCCAGCTGTCTGCCAATGCAGAGCCTGCCCCTGCCCTGCTGGGCTTACCACAGTCCCACTCATCAGTTCCAATCTAGTTGGGACTTCTTTACCCTGGCCACCACCCTACCTAGGGGCTCAGGAGTTCTCAAGGTATACTTCAGTGCCTCAGCTTTTTGCAAATGTCTCACTTAGGATGGAGCTGAAGGTAGGTAGGGGCCAAGAGCCCTGGGCCTGCTGGGTTGGGTCCAGGTCTCACACGCTTCCTGGGGCTCTGCTTACAAAGTCTGGCAGGGACATAGGAACCCACTGTTCCGCCAGCTAAGTCTCCCATTGGCTCCCCTGGAATATGTCCTTCCAGCTGTGTAGATCCTGACCCTTCCAGGGGCATGTGATACTCTGGCAGCATGGAGTCTCTGGGAGGGGCCTGCCTTGCTCCTAGCCTCCCGGAGCTGCAGAGAGACAAGGGAAGGTCTGAAGCCAGGCCCCTGCAGTGAATAACCCTGGAGCCTGAACCATCTCTGCAGGAGACAGCCTAATAGAGCGTTAAGGTGAGGAGCCTAAAGATGCAGCTGTGACCCAGGACACAGCGGACAGATGGCAGGCTGCCCTTGGAATTGAGTGGGATGCAGTCTTTCCATAGGACTTGGGTACCAGGAAAGGGCCTTGCAAGGGCCTTGGTCAGGGTTCCTAGCCTGTGCATTTGGCCATAGGACTCCCAGATGCCACCTGCTTGGAGCTAGTGACATTCAGGTGTGTTCTGCAGAGAGGCAGGCAGGGGCTCCCAGGATCCCAGGAATCCTGTCTCTCTGTGATGATAGGGGTGGGTATTGTTGCTGGAGGTGACTGCCACATACTAGGGTCAGGCTGTGCTGCAGAGGCAGAGCAGGTCACACAAGGCCTTCCTGAGGCTCAGGGGGAGGGATGGCTGGATGATGGCTTTCTGGAAGAGGTAGCATTTGATTGCACTCCAGAGAATGTGGGGCTCTGGCAAGTTTTGTCATGGTATACATGAGGACTAAATGCCGGGTCTGTTTAAAATAATTTTTCTTTTCTAAAATTTTCTTACTTTTATTGGGCATGGTAGTACCACCTTTAATCTTAACTTTCAGAAGGCAGAGGCAGGCAGATCTCTGTGAGTGCAAGGCTAGCAAGGGCTACGTAGTGAGACCCTAGCTCAAACAAAACAAATTTCTTATTATTTTAAAAAATATTTTATTTATTGCCGGGTGTGGTGGCACAAGCCTTTAATCCCAGCACTCGGGAGGCAGAGACAGGAGGATCTCTGTGAGTTCAAGGCCAGCGTGGTCTACATAGTGAGTTCC